ATCTGGGGGAGTGGGGTGACCCCCGCTGGAATGTAGGGAGTGGAGTGACCCCCGCTGGAATGTGGGGAGTGGGGTGACCCCTGCTGGAATCTGGGGAGTGGGGTGAGCCCCGCTGGAATGTGGGGAGTGGGGTGACCCCTGCTGGAATCTGGGGAGTGGGGGGAACCCTGCTGGAATCTGGGGAGTTGGGTGACCGCTGCTGGAATCTGGGGATTGGGGTGACCCCTGCTGAAATGTGGGGGTGTGGGGTGACCCCTGCAGAAGCAGGTGTTTTGGTGCAGATAAAAGGCCCTTTAGAGGAGAGGGCTGCTGACCATGTCCTCAGCAGCAAAACCAGGGTCAGGTTTTCTGTTGTCCCATCCCAGGTGGTGCAGGGACGCCGGCAGTCAACCCAGGAGAACCGCCAGGGGATGGAGCTGCTTCCTCCCTTCGCTTTGGGCAGTGCTCAGTAACTGGGCTGGTGCTCCCTGACACTGACGGGACCTGGACGGTCACACAAAATACCTGCATGTCCCCTCTCGCTCTTCACACTGACTGAAGCATGAGATTGCAAAAAATATAGATGGCTTCTCTCTTTCCTCCCTGGATTTTATATATCCTTAGATCAAAAAACTTAAAACTTATTTATAAACATGAAAGTCACTGTGTGTAGAAAACCATTTCTTGTCTAGCCAGAGAGGCACCGGCTTGAGCTGTCTCTGACAGAGAATCCCCACGGGGCTGGCTGGCTTTCATGAACTCCAACTCCAAGGGTATCTCCATGCCAGTGCCCAGACGGCTCTGTCCCACTGCACCGTTTCACACACCACTCTGTTCCACCCTTCTCACCACCCCCTGGCCTGTTCATAACTGGGAAGGGTCCTGAGACCAAATCAGGGATCTGATGCCAACCAGAGCCCACAAGCTTCACAGTCCACAGAGGTGGACACTGTGCATGGTGTCCGGGTCCCAGGACAGCGGACTCAGGCCCTCTATACCATCTCCAACAGGCTCCAGCCTGAGAGAGCCCTGCCAGGCGGGCACGTCCAGTGGGGACAGAACGCTCCTAACAGGTGGGGCTTGCAGGGGGCACTTCCAGCGTCTGGAGCAGCTGCATGTCCCTGTGGTGGTGGACGGGCTGTGTGTTGCTCTCTGCCAGCCTGTGTGTAGTCTCCTGGACTCTCCCTTCTTTTCTGGCCTGTGCCTACTCACCCCTTCACTGTTTCTCAGAGAGGCCTTTCTGCTCAAAGCCAGCTCTCCTGAAGGCTACAAAAGCAGGCCTGGATGCTGGCTCTGCCGCTTCCTAAGTGGCCCTGGGCCAGTTACTTACCCCTTTGGTCTCACTTTCCTCATCTGTGTAACAGGCACAATGGCAGTCCCACCTCGCAGGGCTGGCATCTACATTAAATGACTTCAAGTCTGTGAAGGACATAGCAGGGACTGGCGCACAGTAAGAGCTACATAGACATCAGCTGTGTACACAGTGCAATAGACATTGCTTGAGTAAATTCTGTTTAATGCCCACCTCCCCAAATTGGACTAAAGTGTGTAGTGCTGCGTCCCTGCCATTGTTTGCCTGTGGACACGTGACGGGTGTGTATGAGGGGTGAGCCCAGGAATGAACGAATGCACGTAAGGTGATGGTGGCGAGGGCCTGAGGTCTGCAGGCCAGTTGGTGCCCTCCTAGAGGCCGCTGTGTTTTGCATGGCTTGGTCTGAGTGGGCAGCATCGCTCTTCTGGAGGGCACTTTCCCCCAGCCGCATGTCCAGCAGAGCACGTGCAGAGGCAGCTTCCGCTGGCACACACAGCACATCTTTGGTGAACGTTCATCGTGCACTCCTATGTGTGGGTTGCTCTCCTAGGTCCATTCAGCTGTGCTTGGTGGGTTTTCACCACACTGCCCACTCCACAGATGAGGAAACAGAGGTTTCGCGTGGTGAAGGTGCCTGGCCAGGGGCATGGAGCTAGGAGGGAGGGACGTTTGTTCTGCTGCCCACGCCCTGTCTTCTCCCTGCAATGCCACATCCTCAGAAATTGGCACCCTCTTTCCTGTCACCCTCCTGTTGTCCCGATGGGAGGATGGGAGGACAGGAACCTTGAGAAAAGCCAGGTAGCACAGAGACGCCATCTAGACCAGAGGATGCAGCCCTTGCTGTTCCCTTTTCTTTTTCTCTTGCCTCGCTCATCTGATGCTGTAAACCTGCCCCCGGGATGCGAAGTTCTCGGAAGGGGTGAGCCGTAGGCTTGTTTAACCGCTCTGAAGGAGGACTCCCCGCAGGGAGCCGCCCCCTCACCCCTCTCACGTCTGTGCCACAGACCTCCCTCTCCTCACTCACGTGTGAAGGGCGTCCGGAAGGAGCTTGTGTAAACCACTGGCTCCATCAGCAAAACACCCTTCCCTCCACTGGGCTGTTCTGGCAACACGTTGTTAAGGCTGAGAGCAGCTGGATTTGAACCAAGCGCTTAAGCTACAAGACTTAATAGCTATTATTCCTCCCTTAAAGCAGAGACGTTTCCTCACGTTGTACTTTGTGGTTTCTTCCACCAGAAATTCATGTCCCCATCACGACAAAGCCCACCCCTTTAGAATAGCATTTAGGTGGGATGGGATCTCACAAATGGGAGCAATTCAGATGTGTCCTTTGGAATCCAAGGCTGAGGTGGATCACCTAGCAACCTCTTTGTGTCTATGAACAGCAAGCAGATCCTTAAGGTCCAGCCTCCGGCCCAGGGTTCACAAAGGTGTTCACTGACTGCAGACATGTGCGTATCAGTCAACCCTTCTTTCTCGGCCCCCTTTCTGCAAGTACAGCCTGCAATCTTACTTGTTATAAACACTTGGAAGTTCAGCAAATCCTTATCTCCAGAAAAATGCAATGACAGCCTCGGGGTCTGGATTTGTGTGTTTGCATGGCTCTGCTGGCCTCTGGAAATATGTGGAGCTATTTTCCCATCCTGGAGGCCAGGATCTTGCAGGAAGGCAGGGGCAGCAAGGTTGGGCGTCATCTTTTCATCCCAAGGTAGTTAAAAGGTGAAATCAATGCACTATCAGGATCTCCTCCAATTTCTGTCTTGTAAAATATTTGAGTCATGAATCACAGAGCAGGTGATCCAGGGACACTTGGTTCTGTCTTAAAATTATCTCTTACATATGAAGAACAAGATCAAATTATTTTTGTGTGGATTTATTTAAGTAAACACTGATTGAATGCAAGGGCCTGATGAGAAAGCCACAGTCCGGGTTGGCTCAGAGACAGAGGCTGCCTGAGGGTAGAGAATGTTTAAATGTTGGATTCTGACCTCAGCCCTCATGAAATTTTGAATCTGCAGTCTGCACCGTTCTGTCTGTATAGTATAAAATATTTTCTTATTTCAATTGAGAAACTCTGTCATGAAGGATATTATAATTCTGAGCATATTTACATTTTCCTTATGATATTAAAACCTGCACAGAAATATTCAGAAATATTACCAAAATATGATCATTTCCCGTCAAAAGTAGAAAATACTTTTTGCCTCTTTCGGGAAGACATGATAAAAATAAACTGATGACTAAGAAGCTTAAGCTCTTTAAGAAATCTGGATTTGTAAAGAGATGGTCCAAAAGGCAGAAACAAGGGAAGGAGGATTTTGAGAACTTCAGGAGGTGGCCACACAGTGAGGTTAGCTTTGTATCCTGAGGGATTCTTACCAAGAAAAACCTTGTGTTGCAAGGCCTGGAAACAACATAATATGTAACCAAATGGTAACAGTAACAGCTGGGAAAGAGAGAAGGGCTGGCTTTGGTAGATGAACCAGGAGAATTGTGTTCCTTTTTATCCCCTGGGGACAGCAAATTCCCAAACGCATATTATTTAGTTATTTTTAGATATGCAGCCAGCAGGGAAACCGCTGAGAACTTTCCCGTGTAAATCCTCATTCAGCTTTCCTGAAGTCAGCATTGTCTGATGAGTACCTGTCACAGAGGAGGGTTTGGGATGGCTGCACTGTGTTCCTTCATGGGAACCGCTGATGTGTGTTCAGGGGTGTCTGGGCAATGCGACCCCGAGGCAGCGTCCACCAAGAGTGCTGGAGGATGGATGGCGCCTCCAAGTTCCTCCGTTTTCTCTGCCATCCAATGAATTGCTTGTAAATTTCCTGCCACATTACTATTGCATTTCCCAAAAATAAGATAAGCATCCCCAAAATGTCATAAGCTATATTTTTAATATGAATGTTGGTCTGTATTTCTGTCATATTCAACATTGAAAAAAAGAAAACAGAAACAAATAATTTCAAGTTCCAAAATGTTTCTGCTGAGGAGTTTTACTGGGCGTGTCTATGGCTATGGGAATTCCAACTCAATTCTGAACAGAATATTCAACTGCCAACAAACTCTGAGAATAACCGTTTTTATTTCTCAAGTAGGTATACTAATGAGGGGGAAGTGGATCCGTATAGCGGCGTCAATCTGTGGGAAGAGAAAGAACTACACTTTCTGTTTGTAATATACATCTTTCAGCAATATATAAACATTCAAACTTGGTCGCACATTACTTAGTAGATTTTCAATAGTCTACCAAAAGGTAGTTCCTCACCATTCTCCTCTATAAATCAGAATCAAGCTGAAATCAGGGTTTTTAGTTATCTTTGGTTGTCTAATGTCTTAGGATTTTAAAAACATTTCCTTTTTTACCTAATTCACTTCAGTACCCCAACATGGGTATGTATGTTATGGTTATGATGACATTTTTCAGATGAAGAGACTGTAATATATTGGGTTTTAAGGTCTTCTATACATGTGCAACCCCTTAGCACCGGAAATAGAAACTAATCTTTTGTTGCTGAGTCCTGGGTCTGCAAGTTTAGGTGATAGTGTCCCCTCAGGGTACTAGACAGCTTGCAGAATTTAAGTAGAAAATGCCAAAATACTGCAAATTAATCAAAATGGAGCAAAAACATGTGCGTAACTTAATTTGTGATGACCATTTAAGAGTCCAAAATAATTTCATTTCACTCCACTCCTTAATTTCCTCCTCTAGGTTCCATAAATGAAAAGTTACCGCAACGCGAAGGCACAGGAAAAACAGGTAACTATCTTAGAATAAATGTCTGTGATGATATACAACATCTACTTTAACCTATCCTGTGAAATAACTTCTCAAGTTAAAGTTTAAACATCCACTAGTGACAATGATGAGAGCCGAGCCAGTTTGTTACTTCTTTATTCATTCAGCAAGTGCCATTCACTCTTATGATCACCAGCTCCATTGGGTCTGTGCTCTGCTGGGATCGCTGGTGTTGGGCCTGTGCTCTGTGGCTTGTTTCGGGACCATCAGCAGACACTGTTAGGACCCCTTGGAGCCTCCCAGTCTGTGACTGTGGAGAGGGCTGAGGCTCAGTGTTTTGGCTCCCTGTGGGATTCTAAACCATTGCAGTTATTGAGGACCCTGATCAAGAAGCCTCAACTCCTCCCTACAAGGAGGAGGAGGAACTGTTTTTCTACCTACAGCAATCACTGCCTCTGAGACTGGCGCAAACAAGAGCTGAACAAAACCCTTAAACTTAAGCATCATATCACAGCCTGTGGGTCCTGTTTCAGGGTCTGTCATGTGCCCACCACCACTCCCCTGGGAAAGTCTCCATCCTCTTCTCCGCCCTTGCCTCGGCCAACACCCTTCAGTACCAGGACACATTTCTGCTTTTCTCCTACATCAGCCTTTAAAGTCAGAGGTTGTTTTCAAGATGACAGTGTAGTGAACCAGTAACAAACAAAAGTAATATAAAGACAGACCAAGCCAAGGCAGGCAGATCACCTGAGGTCAGGAGTTCGAGACCAGCCTGGCCAACATGGTGAAACACCATCTCTACTAAAAATACAAAAGTTAGCCAGGCATGGTGGCACATGCTTGTAATCCCAGGTACTCAGGAGGCTGAGGCAGGAGAATTGCTTGAGCCCAGAAGATGGAAGTTGCAGTGAGCCGAGATCACGCCACTGCACTCTAGCCTGGGCGACAGAGTGAGACTGTCTCAAAAAAAAAAAAAAAAAAAAAAATTCAGAGTTTTATTCAACCAGTCCCTTCTGCATGTGTGGAAACTGTGGTGAGGCCTGTCCCTGCCCTGAAAGATCCTTTGCAAAAAGAGTTCTGTATTACTAAGACACAGACATGTTGGAGGGACAAGCTGGCATGAGAGTAAATGTCAGGCTGTCCAGAGGGCGCCTGCCAAGAATGAGGCAGGAGCAGCTTCCTGGAAGGGGAAATATGTAACAGGTGTGAGCTGGGACAGAAGAAGCCTCACAGTCAAGGAAGATAGCTCATTTTCCAGCTGAAAACTGATGACAGGCATAATGGGGACACTGGGTTGGGAGAGGGTTTATGTTTGGAAAGGAAGGGGTAAAGTTGCATAGAGCAATAGTGAGCTGCGTGAATTGAGTCAAGAAGAAAATGGGGTGGGCGTGTCGACATTTGTAGAGAAAGGAAGGGACGATCTCATGACTAGAAAAATTAATCAAATGTGGAAAGGGAGGAGGAGACGGAAGGATCATCGTCTTTCAGAGGCCATTTCCTAATCCTGTTTATTATGATATTTATTGTACCCACTGTAAAAAAAATCTAGAGGAATTAGGACATGGGCATGAAAGTAAGTTAAGGAAAGAACAGGCCCCCCACTTTAGGCCTGAATACGCAGAGGGGATACCTGGGTTAAGCAACAGAGCTGGTTTCCAGACACAAATAAGACGAGACACTTCACAGACTCTGATAGAGGGAAAATAAAAACTGCACAGCTCTTCGAGATTTTTGTTTTATTTCTGTAAGGCTGACTTCAGCAGCCACCAATGGCCTTGTTCTGTTGGGACAGAGCCACCCCGTCTGTGTGGGACGGGGGCATGGAGTAGGGCCTATGATGACCGTGCTGAGGGGGAAGTGTGGACAGGGCAGGAAGGGGAACAGCCTCTGGTGCCCAGAATCAGGGCTGAGAGGAGGAATGGACAGTGGGCCTGTTAGTCACCCTGTACCCAGACCACACCTGCCCTCCCTGCTTGCCATTCAGGCTGAGCTTTCAGACTGGCCTGGCCCCAGTGACTGGGGAATGGGCTGGTGGCCTCAGAGTGGTGACTTGGTGAGGCCTCAGCAAAAACACACAACAGTAATAATGTATTTGATTGTCCTCATTCCAAAAAATTTCAAATATGTTATTTTAAGACTTTTTGTATGTTCTTGTGTTTAAAATATGTTTCCCATTTTGTTTTATTTTCTTGGAAGAAGATTGTAAAATATTCAACCACAAAATATTCCTAGTTTATTGTTATTATCAGTGTTAGACTTGGATATTTCAAATAACTGATGTTACATTTTTGTCAGTATTTTGATAGCTAGCAAACTGTTTTCGAAAGATTGCTCAATGTTAAAATTTTTTGAAAATCTGTTTTGATTTTCCCCCTAAAATAAAGTCTTATGACAAACTTCATTCTTTAGACCACTGGGAAGTTCGTTACTTAGTTATCTACATAAGTCTTATGGCTGGACCTCATCTTTGCCACTTTTTCCTGTATTTCAGTCCAAAAGTTACTATTTAACAAAATGATATAAGCAAGCTTCACTGAAAAAAAAAAAAAAAAAAAAAAAGGATGATCCTGAGAGCACCACAGTGCCCTGTGATTGCTTCCCGGGTGGGGCCCTGAGTGTCTGGAGGACTCCTGGCTCACGGGCCTGCCATCCTGCCAGGTCTCTGAGCCATTTAAAACCTCTTACTTTACCAGGGAACCCAACATGTGTGTGTCAATTAATCAAATACAGATTCTCCACTTGGAAAATGCGAGTCCATGAGTGGTGCAGGGGCCTGTGACACCCCAGCCCGCCCTTTCCTCCATTCGCTGATAACTTTCGCCCTGTCCCCTCCACCCCATGCGCCCCTCAGATCCTCGCTTAGATTATTCCACGGCAGCAGTGGAGAGAGGGAGGGCCAGAGGTGTAGAAGGGGGTCCAGAATTCTCCAGCCCTTGCCTTTCTCTTGGGGAAAACAGAGGGCATGTTAAGGGGACATGGCTCTGCTCAACCCCACCCCAGTCCCTGCCAAGCCCTCTTCTGTAACCTCCGGTGGCCTGAATTTATGACTTCTCTTTCCCAGGGCTAGACTTTCTTTACTCTTAATTATTTTGATTCCTTCCTCATCTGCCCTATGGCCTGTGATTGGCTCTGAGAGTTTAGAACTGATCGGATGTTTTCCACGTGGAAGTTAGGTCAGTGTCTAGCCTGGAGCATTTTAAATAGCAGCTGACTGGAGAGTGGGCCTGGATGCCGCAGCAGCATCCGGTGGGGTCTGTGTGGGGTTGCGTTATGGTTGATCTGTGGGGACTGAGTGGAAGTCCTCAGCATCCACCCGCATGCACACTTACTTAACTTACTCTCATAATTGTAGTCTCCTTGCAAATCTTTTCCGTTCTGAATTCAGATGATGCCGTGGCTCCGGCGTTGGAGACTCAGCCTCAAGGAGATGAAGAAGGTGAGCCGGGGGCGGGGATTGTACAGTTGGGGTTGGGGAGGAGCGCGAGGGATGGCGCGGAGCTGGAAAGTGGGGCGAGTCATCCTGTTAGAGCTCCATTCAGTAAGGAGTGTAATATGCCAGACACAGAAATGACTACATGATCTCTCTTATATGTGGAATCTATTAAAAAACAAACAGGCCGGGCGTGGTGGCTCAAGCCTGTAATCCCAGCACTGTGGGAGGCCGAGACGGGCGGATCACGAGGTCAGGAGATCGAGACCATCCTGGCTAACCCGGTGAAACCCCGTCTCTACTAAAAAAAAAATACAAAAAACTAGCCGGGCGAGGTGGCGGCGCCTGTGGTCCCAGCCCCTCGGGAGGCTGAGGCAGGAGAATGGCGTAAACCCGGGAGGCAGAGCTTGCAGTGAGCTGAGATCCGGCCACTGCACTCCAGCCTGGGCTACAGAGCGAGACTCCGACTCAAACACACAGACACACACACACACACACAAAACACACAAAAACAAACAAACAAAACCCCAAGAGTGAGAAGAAGGAAACAGCAAGCCGAAAGGTTGTCACCAAGGGTAGGGTAGGATGGAGAAGATAGAGAGATGAGATCAGAGGCTGCAAAGCTGCAGTTATGTGGGATGGACAAGTCCACACATCCAGCGTACAGCACAAGGAATCTAGTTAATGATGAAATGACAATGGATGGCATCCCACACATCCAGCCCATAGCACGAGGAATATACTTAATGACGAAACGGCAATGGATGGCATAGTAAACATTTCCTAACCACACACCCGTGAAATAACTGTGAGATGTTGGGAATGTGAATTGCTTGGCTGTAGAAATAATTTCACTGGGTAAATGTGTATCTAAACATCATGATGTTAGACAGGGATAAGAGAGCAAACTCACAAGCAGAAATGGACTGCGTGTGGCCGTGTCCAGCCTTATGAGGGCACCCACTGTTTTTCCTGATGTCTTTGGAGCGAGGGGTTTTCCGATATCGCCATGTCGCATTCTCATGAGGGTTTCGTTAAATACACATTTCTAAGTTGAAATTTTACAGTTTGGATAATATAAAATGTATGGCCATTTTCCCTGTTTACATTTCACATCTTTACAAGTGGTCGTAACAAGGATAGATTTCCTGTTTTTACCTTTAATACATTGTCTTAGGTATTTACTAACGTATAAAAAATTACCAGGTCAAAGGGGACCAGGGTTAAAAGGCAAAGTGTAAGGAATACACAGTATAAATTAACAAAACATTAAAGTGTAGAACTGCATTATGCTTTGCAAATAATAATAATGGTGACTAATGCTGCATGGCCCTACGTGCTACACAATGTGGGCTCTGCTGCTGTGAGTCCCTGGGCCTTCTGAATGCCCTTCCGCAGATGAGAACCCTGTGGCAATTGACCCAAGTCCATCTGGGTGTAAATGGCAAATGGCATTCAGACCCAGACGTCTTCTTCAGGGTCTGTGCTCTCACGCACTAACAGTGACCTGCACTATATTCCTTTCTTTTTTTTTTTTTTTTTTTTTTTTGAGACAGAGTTTCGCTCTTGTTGTCCAGGCTGCTGGAGTGCAATGATGCGATCTTAGCTCGTTGCAACCTCCATCTCCCGGGCTCAAGCAATTCTCCTGCCTCAGCCTCAGGAGCAGCTGGGACTACAGGCACCTGCCACCACGCCTGGCTAATTGTTTTTTTTGTATTATTAGTAGAAATGGGGTTTCACCATGTTGACCAGGCTGGTCTTGAACACCTGACCTCAGGTGATCCACCCGCCTCAGCCTCCCAAAGTGCTGGGATTACAGGTGTGAGCCACCACGCCCGGCCCATTCAATTTTATTTGTTAAACAAGATTACTACAAAAGGGGTGTTCCTGAAAAGTTCCAAGCAAAAGTTATATTTCACATATTGCATTTTGTGTTGAGTCTTTCAACTGAGTGAAAACGTTGTATGTTGTGTGAATAGCCATTTTAACTACACAAGGATATCTTTTTGTACATTTGGGTATTTTTCTAAAATCTGATTCTTCTAAAGTGAATTCTGTCTAGACCCAAAGAGATTTTAACTATACTTTTGGATAAAGAGAAGAATGCCAAAAATATTTTAAACGTATGTTGTGATTTCCTTTTGTCTCATGCATATAATCATTGTAACTATTTCTTGACAAATGTACGATGTGTGTTATATTGATTTATTTTGGCTTTTGGACTGCTTGCTGCACTATGTAACTTAAGGAACATTGTGGGTTCATGATGAATTAAAAATGCTTATCATTTCATTTTGGTTCATAGATATTGCATCACGTTACCCTACCCTTTGGACTGAACAGGTTAAAAGTCGGCAGAACAAAACCAATAAGAATTCAGGTAAGACGCTGCCTGATGTCACTTTGTAAGGAGGGATTTAATAGATGTAGAAAATGATGGTTTTTTTGGAGTTAAGTGTTTTGTACAGTTGACCCTTGAACAACACGGGGGTGAGGGGTGCAGACCTGGCACAAACATCTGAGGATAACTTTCAGCTCCCCCCAAAATAATAGCCTATTGTAGACTGGCAGCCTTACCAATAATACAGTTAGTTAACACATATTTCGTATGTTATATGTATTATATATTGTATTCTTACAAAAATAGAGAAAATGTTATTAAAAATCATAAGGAACAGAAAATATATTTACTATTGGTTACGTGGAAGTGGATCATCATAAAGGTCTTTGTCCTCTTCATCGTCTTCATGATGAGTGGGGTGAGGAGGAGGAAGAAGAGGAGGGGCTGGCCTTGCTGTCTCAGAGTGGCCGAGGCGAAGGAAACATCCTTGTAACTGTGGACCCATGACGTCAGAAACCTGTGGTTCAAGGGTCAGCTGTAAATATTTTCACCTGGTTACTCAGTCATGAAAATAATTCCTATTATTTGATCACCAGCATATATTTTAACATTTGGCATTTGAAAATTAAATTTTCTAAAGTCTTTAACAGATTTCTCTGTAGGTGGCAAACAAACTATAGCTTTAGGTATAAATTGGAGATGTTTGTTAATAAGTAAATAATTATAAATTTGCTTCCGGCCTGATTTCAGAGATGTTAAAAGACTTTGCTAATTTAGTTTAAAATCCTCCAAATGGTGTGCTCTAAAACAGTGTTTGAGAGAACGTTCACCTTTTAAAGCCGACTCTTTTGACATTTGGAAGACCAGTAACGGGTTGCTTCGTCTTTGGTTAATGATTTTGACTGTTTTCATGGAAAAGGGTCTGTTCTGTAATTTTCATTTAGGCGCTCAGTTGATTGCATGTGTGTTTCTCATTTCCTTTTCAAATGAGGATTTCACAGATTCTTACTGAAGGGAAGCAGCTGTGTAGGTTTAAAGTAGTTCAGCTGCTGAGGAAATATGGCGTTAGTAACAGCTTGGATTTTCTACGATCAGCTTTGGGTGAAAAAAATTGCAAACATTCACAGAGGCTGCTTATGCATTAAAACTTTATCTGTGGTTATGCATCCATATATTCTTCTGCTTACAAAAGAAATCAAAAGGTTTATTAAAGTTCAGGATACTAAGAGTGGTTCAATTCTCTCTTCACCCACCTATGCCTCTTATAGACCCAACCTAAAAAGGACACTTGAGGGAAGTGCCTGCGTCCCCTTAAGCCAGCAGCCACCTCAGAACCCCATGGCAAGTCTATGGTGGGCCTGTCCACTGATTTTCACCTGAAAAGCTCACTTGGCGCAATGCCAAATGAGCTGGCACAGGTCCAGTGTGTGATTTCTGCCCCATGATATTCTTAAATCACTGCCTCCAGCCCCAGAGTCTTAGCTGTTATCTTCTTGTTACTTTACCCTTCTGGGCTGAGATGAGGAAGGGCACACCCCAAAGGCCCCCCACCGTCTACAGGCACACATGGCAGAAACATTTAACACCTATTTATAACATTTTTCTCAGAAATGCTTGTTATAGATGAGTTTTTCCTATTGTATGGAGATATTAATCCCTTTACATGTCTCATGCACTTTTGACACTGGGTTTTGTTCAATTTTGTCACCCCACTTTAAAAAGCTATTTTATTTGATTTATTTCTGTTTCATACCAATTTGTATATGAGAGATTAACTAAAACACTGTATGTTTCAGGTTTACTGGTTGATGTGGTTGGGCATTTTGTCCCCTCCCAAATCTTATTTTGAATTGTAATCCCCATACTCTGCACCTGCCAATGGAGAGACCAGGTGAAGATAATTGAGTCATGAGGGCGGTTTCCCCCATGCTGTTCTCATGATAGTGAGTGAGTTCTCACAAGATCTGATGGTTTTATAAGGGGCTGTAACCCCTTCGCTGGGCACTTCTCCTTCCTGCTGGCTTGTGATGAAGGTGCCTTGCTTCCCCTTCACCTTCTGCGTGATGGTAAGTTTCCTGAGACCTCCCCAGTCATGCTGAACTGTGAGTCCATTAAACCTCTTTCCTTTATAAATTGCCCAGTCTTGAGGAGTTCTTTATAGCAGGATGAGAATGGACTAATACACTGGTAGATCTTGAAAACCATTGGAGAATAAATATGTTAGCACCTAAACTTAATTTGAAAAACAAATGTAAAATTCTTGTAAATGATTTTACTGGAAATATACATTATTTTATTTTTATTTTATTTTAATTTATTTATTTTGAGAGGAAGTCTTGTTCTGTCACCCAGGCTGGAGTACAGCAGTGCAATCTTGGCTCACTGCAACCTCCGCCTCCTGGGTTCAAGCAATTCTCCTCTCTCAGCCTCCTGAGTAGCTGGGACTACAGGCACCCACCACCAAGCCTGGCTAATTTTTGTAGTTCTAGTAGAGATGGGGTTTAACCATGTTGGCCAGGCTGGTCTTGAACTCCTGGCCTCAAGTGATCTGCCTGCCTCAGTCTCCTAAAGTGCTGAGATTATAGGCGTGAGCCACTGTGCCAGGCTAGGAAATACACATTTTTTTTTAAGCCAATGTGACCATTTCAGGCTTTGGCAGATTAAGCTCCATGTAAGCTTGTGGAGGAAGAACATTTCTGTGTCTCACCTCTCACTTGCCACTTGCAGATTTCCAAGACTTCAAGTGACCTGCCAATTATAATTAACCAGTAAAAACTGAGCAGGCTTTTGGTATTTAGTGGGACTGAAAATAATGTTTTAGGAAATTCCAGTTTACAGAAGTTACCCCACACTATAATTTGATTTAAGTCAGCCGAGATGAGTGGAGCACGAAAGATGGCATTGAGTTGACTTACAGGCACAGGGCATGAAGCTACTGGACTCTGTGTTTAATACCAGTTTTCCAGCTACAAGTTCTTTCTGAGGGGCTGAAGAAACACCTAGTTGGTATTTTAGGACATTAAAAATAGTATTTAATTTATTAAGTTTTAACAATGAAATGACAAACAATCATAGGATATATATAGTGACCACTGTTTTTGACATTTCAAATATCAGAAGAGTGTCATTTATACTTAATTTTTACTTTTAAAATATACTTTTACTTATAATCATCTTTGGTACATGTAGACACATTCATTTGAGAAAATGTAAATAATTTTTGACAATTATTTGGGTATTTTAAAAAATTTACCTAGCTTGTCAGTACTTTTTCATGTTCTTTTATAAAAAAGGGCCAAACTGAAAATGCATTGCTTTTTGTTTCTCTCTTGTTTCTTTATATCAGTTAAAAGTAGTATTTTTCCCCATGAATTTGTATGAAAATAATGTAATGTGACTTTTGTTACCGCAGACATAGAATATGGTTGCCATGCATCTAAATGCCTATGTGTACACTAGGAAGATGCGGTCCATATGCTTTGGAGCATATAATGATAGTAGTTTTCTTAAAAGGGACTATTCTTACAAAGGAAAATAAAATACTTCTACTCTGAAAATTTGTACATGGTAGCTACACAATAAAATCATGCCTCCTGTGGGATTTGAATCAAATTGGGATCTGTAGCTCAGGCAGAATTCCTTCATACCCAGGCCAGATTGGATTTAGATTGGCAAAGACTGCCCCCCTCACCACCAGCCTGTTGCTCACCCTAGGCCCCAGCAGAGAGCCCACCGAGGGTGGCCCCTCACTGCCCTCCGAGGTGCTCTGCAGGTGTTGAGTGACGGCACTTGAAAATTCGCACATAGTAGCCACACAATAAATATGTATTAAATTAATAAAGAGTTGTACCAGCATATGTTCCACGGGCCCTATTGTAGCATCATTACTCTTTTTAAAACAAGCTGAATGAAACAAACAAAATAACCAAATTGATAAATAACTGGAAAAGAGAATCTAGGCACCCCTAGAGGTTGCCTATTAGACTTATATTGATTTAAATTTAATAAATATATAAGTGAAACATTCTCTTGGCTCATTTAGTAAGAAAATCATCACTTTCATCATGTGAATCAATATACATTAAATACATGAGTAAAATCTGAAGTTGCCTGTTACTTAAAAGTGCATTACTCCATTTTTCCCATCAATATAAAATTGTGTTAATTCTTTTACTGTCTCAAATAATCTTTGTTTTATTACTCTTTTCATAGAAGATACATAAACTGGTTACAAGATTTTATCAGATAAGACATTTTGTAAGATACAGTCTTTTAATTATGTAAGATTTAAACAAATGTAAATCGAATTAGTACTCTTCCCTACTGGCATATTAAGTACTCTCTAGATTTCTGCCTGATTTCTTTTAAAACCGATCTAAAATATTGAAGAGGACACTGCAACTTCTTTTCTTACTTGAGCCAGCTACTAACATCTTCACAAAATAACACTCTTCATGAATTACAAACACCGAGGTGCTTAGGGTTACATAACCCATTTGTAATAAAACGTATCTCCTCTAGACAAAAAAAGCATATGATCGTGGCACGTCAAAGCCAGGAAGGGCTCTGTCTCTGGGGTGAGGAGGCATCCAGGCTCACAGGACGGTTTCTGTATCATGGGTGCCATTGGCCACCATTTGCCGTAGTGACAGGACCCAAGGGAAGGAGCGTTCGGAAATAATGGGAAGACAGAGAACGTGTGGAAGGCCAGCTGTCTCACATTTTGGTAGGATGATTATTCAGTGGGATGAGTCGGTGAAAACTCATGTTTGAACTGCGTGTGCTGTGTGCATCGCCCGTTCCCCACCACGTATCAGTGTTTCTCACATTTTGGTAGGATGATTATTCAATGGGATGAGTCAGTTAAAACTCATGTTTGAACTGTGTGTGGCGCCCGTTCCCCACGAGGAATCAGCGTTTTTCACATTTTGGTAGGAATTATTCAATGGGACGAGTGGATTAAAACTCGCATTTGAACTGTGTGCAATGCCCGTTCCCCACGAGGAATCAGCGTTTTTCACATTTTGGTAGGAAGATCA